TTTGCCAAGTTAATCAGTCTGCCATCTTTAACCTCAGTCCCCTGCAAGGTCTCTGGGCATGGGCAAAATGCAGACAAGTTTTCTGCCAGAGTAAAACACACACGGCCTGGAGTCTAACTGCCAATGAAGTCCTTTCTGACTGAAATCTCTTGAGCCTGGTCTTCTTGAGCACATTGAAGTCAATACTCTTCTGAGCTCTGATCAGAATCTCCCATCAAGTTTGCTTTCCAGCATTCTAGGGCTGCTTCTCCAGCTGGCATGTCCAAACTCCACCCACAAGTTATTTACAAAGGCTGCTGAATCATACTGTCAGATAGTGTCAAGCAACAATTCCAATTCTCTGGTACCAAAATCTGTCTTATTTATTCTCTCATTGCTGGAACAAAATACCTAACATACACAAGATAAAAGGAGGGGCTTATTATGGCTCACAGGTTGTAGAGATTTCATTACATAGTTGGCTGGTTCTGAGGCTGCGTGGCATATAGAGAGGTACAGCAGAGGAGAAACAGTTTATGGCCTGGAAGGCAAGAAGCAGCTAGGGATCATAGGAGGAGGAGAGATATAAGCCATTCTAAGCCACTTACAGTGACGCATCTCTTCCCACCACACCTCACCTTCCAACATCACACCCAGCCATAAACCCATCAGGGGGCTATTCTAGTGCTGAGTATCACACACCCATAATCCAATCTCCCTCCAAAAACATCATCTGTGAACACATGAGGTTTCAGGGAGACATCTAGATACAAACCATAACAGATTGATTTTAGTAATCATTTCATAGAATATATACATATGTGTGTGTGTGTATATATATATATATATATATATCTCAAAACATGATGTTGTAAATCTTAAATATATGAGGATGCACTTGGGTGCCTGATATAGGAGAATGACTGAGGGAAAATCAGAGACACAAGCCTTTACTGGGGTTCCTGCAGGTAAAGCAAAGAAAGGCATATTTAGTAGGCTGATGACTGATGTATAGAACAATTCCAGAGTGTTCTGGGGTATAGAGGCAGCCTCTAGTTGCCTGATACCTAGCCTGGGATGGTGAGGGCAGAGGAATAGTATATCTCGGGATGTGTGCATCAAAGGATGTGGTAGGGTGTGTGGACTCTGGAGTGGTTAATTTTCATGTCAAAGTTGGCTTATTTTCTCTAAGAATTAATTGGCTCGCCCTGAAAGGGACATGCTTTCCTTCATCAGGCTGGACCCAGAAGCTAAAGCATCAAGAAGACAGAAAATAGAGAAAATACTACCAGCATCTGCAGAAGCGTGTACCTATGAGCATTTCTCCTGAGTGCTCTGGGCTGTAAGGATGCTCGCTGCCTTTGCTGTGGCACCTGATGCCAGTGGTACTTTCAGCAGCATGTTAGCAGATGAGCAGAATTAGGAGTCCTGTTTTAAAGGACACTGTGTTTAACACTGTTTTCAAGATTGTTTTGAAATACATACCAGGTAATATGCAAGGTGTACTGAATGTGTCATTTTAGAGGTAGATCCAGGCTACTTTGTTTAAAACTGGTACTCATCCTTCCCATTAACCCAGGAAGGACCATCCACAGCAGGTAGACTGATTTAATTAGGATCAACGTAACAAGCTTTCCTCATTCCTGCCTCCCAGCTCTGCTCAAACCGGTTTCAGCACTGCTCAGAATTGTGCCTTGTGCTCCTTACTTAATCAAGTCTTTCTAGCACCACCTGCTCTGTGAAGTCTGTGTTAGCTTCCCTGGCCTACAAACTCAATACACTGTACCATGTGCTGAACTCTATTCTAAGCACTTTAGAAATAGTAGTTAATGCAATTATCAGTAGCCCTATGAGGCAGGTACTATTTGTATTCTGATGTTACAAATGAGTAACCTGAGATGCAGAGATGTTGAACATGATCCAAAGTCACAAAGCTGAGTGGTGTTCATGTCATGGGCATTCAATTAATGCTACATGAATAAATGAAACTAACCATGGGGATTTATCATCTAATAAATGTGTGTGTGCATGCATGTGTGAAGAAGTTTCTCTCTCTCAGTGTTCCACAACTTTAGTGGGATTCTACTATTCAGCATTTGCCCAGAATAATGCAAATGGCATTGAAATTTAGAGCTTACTTTGGGTTAGCAAAATGATTTTCTGAGTCACTGTTCTGAGATAGTATAAGTTGACAGGTAAACAAGAATGCAAGGGAAATTTTAAAACTAATTAAATGTAGGAAGTGTAATGTTAGCTTTAATATTTTTACAAGGTATTATTAATTCTTTCTTACACCTTACATACAGATAATATTTGAGAACTGTATTAGCCAGGGTTCCAATGGAGGAGCAGAAACAGCTGGAGACATTCAGAGAAGGGTTGAGAGGGAACAGGCTCCTGCTGCTGTGGACTGGCTGGGCAAATGTGCATTCTGCAGGACAGCCTGGAAGTCTCTGGAATGGGCTGCAACTGTTGTCTGTGGGCACATCTTGTTCAGGGAAGTCTCAGGTCTGGTCTGAAGGTCTTACAAAGGACAGAATCAGGCTCACCAGAATTAGCGAGGACAATCTCACTATTCCAGACCTCACTCACCTACAAGTGCCCCACAGTAGCATCTCCATCAGTGTTGGAGTAACTGTGGCCTGCGTCACAAGAACATTTACCACTTGCCCTGTTATTAGTGTCTTTTGTTTCTGTGTATAAAAAGAAAAATGAATTTATTTAACAATATCATATGAACTAAGACATTTTAATCATATCGGTGGGCTTCCTTCAATTGGTGTTGAGGTGATGACACAATTTACTGGTATTTTCTTGCTTTTCTGTCATTCTTTGTGTTAGTCAGGAGAGGGGATTTATTAGATTGGCTGACATTATCTGAGGGTGGAGAGCCTCCCTGTAGCCGATTGCAGGCTGGAGAGCTGGAGAAGTCAGTAGCTGCTTAGTTGCTGGTAATGGAAACTTCAAACAAGCGGGACCAGTGACACTGCCCCAGACTGAGACTAAAATCTTGAAAGCTCCCTCGAGGGCCACTGGTGCAAATTCATGTTCAGATGGTAAAGGTCCTGGAGTCTGATCCACAGGGCTTGGCAGCATCAAAAAACAAACAACAAAAACCACAGAAACCCAAAACTGTATCTGCTGAAGAAAAGAGTGGTATGCATATGTGTGTGGGCTTTCCCCTTCCCTTTTTGTTCCATCTGGGCATTAACTCCTAGACTGTCATCAGAAGTTGACAGCCAAGATTACCCACTGCATCTTCTGATGCCCTTGTGTATCTGCTTGCTTCTCTCTATCCCTTTTTGTTTCAGATGTAAACACCACTGGTTTACCTTAACCCTGGGTCTCAGTCACCATATCTGAAAGAAGGCACAATTACAGCTCCAAATCCATAGACTGATTAGTGGATTAGTGGAATTAGTTACCAAAAGGATTTAGATAAGCACATGGAACCCACTGAGCAATACATTCTTCATGTAGTGGTTGTTGGTTTCTGGCTGGTTGAGCTTCTCTGGCCCTGAACATGGCCAGGAGTGATGGATTCACTGTAGGAGACATTCAGAGACTGTGACAGCACACCCTGAATAAGAAAATTAGGGGCTAGGGATTTAGCTCAGCGGCAAAAAGCGCCTGCCTGGCAAGCGCAAGGTCGTGAGTTCGGTTCCTGGTACCGGAGAAAAACCAAAAACAAACAAACAAACAAAAAAAGAAAATTAATATTCACCCATTCCCTTCTAATTTAATGTGTCATCTTTCCTGTTTGCCATCACATTTCTGAGGTACTAGAGATTCATGTCCCTTCCAGGAGGTTTGTTGATCTAGTTATTGACTATTCATGGCCACTTTTCCTAACAGCCTGGATATATGGCCTTTCACAGAACTTGACCTGGCCGCATTAGCCCTAAACACCAATGTTGAAAAGTCCTTAAGATGTATACCTATCCTTCAAGATGAAGGTAATTATTATGTATTGCAAACATAGTTATAAATACATTGATGAACTCACCTATCTTTCTAAGGGGGTATCAATGCCTGTCATAGGCGAGGTGGTGAGAAAACTCTGATTTTCTTGCTAGATTCTTTGTTTCTGGCATTTCTGGCAGGGGGACAAAGACAAATTTCATTTGCCAGCAGTGATATTTTCCTGACTTGCTTTTAGAAGGAAGAATATTGGGACACTTTTTCTGGGGTAGAGTAACAGGCCCTGCTGTGTAAACAAGAGGCAAATGCTCACCACAAGACCCATGTTGCCTCTGTGAAGAGATGCTCTTAGCAGCCTCATGGTGTGCAGGAGAGAGAGAGCGATGAGTGGTGAGAAGGACCTTTTCTTTACACATTTGCCTTCACGAATTGTTCATGGCCATTCGGTAGAAATTTTATCTCATTGATCTGCACAGGAAGAACTATCTCTTACCTTCTGAAGTCTTGATGGAGAATTCACATCTCAGGCATGTAGACTGTGTCCTTGGACTCAGCATTGCAGGGTGGCCCCTTTCCTTTATCTGTATCTTTCTCCATCATGTTTCTGCCTCACCCATGAGATTGCTGTGTTCACAAATTTTAAAAGTTCCTTAGGACTCAATGATACTAGGAACAAGAATTCACAAATTGTTGTTGCAGTTGAAGTGTGCAACAACCAAAGAAAATGTCTGACTTAGAAGAGGATTCAGTTTTGGATCAAGTATCTACAAAAAAACATTTATTCTGTAGGAGGAAGCCGTTTCTCTTCTAGATATGTTATGAGTTTTGGTAATGTTATAATTGAATGGCTCATGTACTGAGATAACACAGATATATCATCCTGCTTTTCACTTAAAGGCTATTACATAGGTTAATGATATTCTCAACCAAGTAGGTAGGACTAAGAATGTGGACTCGGTATTGAGCAACTGTTCAGAGAACAGTTGATGGTGGTGGCATAAGGAAGTATCATGAGATTTAATTTTAAAAAGTCACTCTGTGTAATTCTAATCTGAAGAACCAGTGCATTAAATCATCTTAATTTCTTTAAATCCGCACAGATTTTCGCCATTTCCTGAATTCCAGTTCAGAGAATTTCAGGTACGTGTTTGTGACCAGGTAGGGAATGAGAGGCAGTATTTCATCCTCCATAAGACTTTTGAATGGTACCACATGAGTCTGTCCATGGTATCTGGAACTCAAAGTGAAACTCTCACTTGTGTGTATCTAGTTTCTGAATGGTTGATTTTTCTTGTTTTTTTCTTTCCCTTCTGCTTCCCCTTCCCCTTTCCTTCCCTTTCTTTCATCTACCCTCTCTCTTTCCATTTACTCCCTCCCATCCCTTCCCTCATCCCCCTTGCCTCTTCCCTCTTTTCCCTTCCCTTTCTTTCTTTTCCTTTTCCTGACAGATCAAATATTCAATAGGCTTTATAAAGTATTTGTTTGTTCATGTCATTAAAGTAATATTTTTGTTGTTGTTGCTTTGAGACTGGGTCTTGCTATGTAGTTTAGGTTGGCTCAGAACTCACCATGTAGTCCAGGCTTGGCTCAAACTCATAGCTATCCTCCTGCCTCAGCCTCCCAAGTGCTGGGATTAAAGGCATGCACCACCACACCCAGCTAAACTAATATTTTTTGCCTACCTTTCTAAGTACTACACAGGTATTTACTTATTTAATTCTTGCAACAGTCTATAAGGAAGTCATTATCATTCTTTATTTTAAGATAAGGAAACATAAGTGCAGGGAGGTAAGCTGGTGGGTGGCTGAGTTGGGATACCCAGGCTACTTGACCCCAGCATCCACAATCAGCCACTGAGTTCTGTACCTCTGATACTGAGGGCCACTGGGGACTGTTCTTACTGGCCTGGTAAATATATTCTTTCAGGGAAATTATGAAAATCAGAGTTAAAGGACATTCAGATATTAATGAGATAGCATCTACAAACGCAAAATTGAGGTGTTATTTCAACATTTGAAACCCACTTCCAAAATTATTAGAATATTCAAAATAAGACTGGCTTCTGAAATAAAACCTCTAAAAGCAGAGAAATAAGATAGATCAGAGTGAACTTTGAGGTGCTGAGAGTGGGGGCTGCAGGCTGTCTGGAGGCCCCCGATGCAGCCTCACTGAATTACAGTGGAACCTCAGTCTCTAGCTGGGGCACAGACGATTTGGAATCTTTTCATAGTTTTCAAGTTTAGCCAGCCATTATTACTTTCATTTTTATAAAATGAAGTGTCTCAAGTAATAGTCTTTGCACGTGCTGGTAACATTAGAAGTTAAAGGGACAATGCTATCTTTGTATCTATCTCTTATCTTTCTAATACTATTCTCATATAATTCATATGGAAATATGCTAGCAATGTATTTTTCTTGTTATTTATTAGTATATGTTTATGATATGCAATAATGACATCCATCTTGGGGAACTGGTGCATGTACATATCGGGGATTTTTCCTCTGCTTTCCTTCCCACCCTCCCATTTCCTCCCTCCCCAGATATGATCAGCACTTTGCACAACAATCTGAGATGCATTCCAAAAGAGAAGTCCCAGTGTTTTGTTATTGACTTCTGGATCTCCTCCTGCCTCAGCCATGGTCATTCTCCATTGTTAAGTAAGTATGCTGAGAAAGAAATGAAATAGTACAAAATCTTCAGAAATGACCAGGCTCTGTCAGCCATGTGCAACCGACACACTGAGCATCTTGGAGGCTCTGGTTGTTACGTTCAGCTTGTGCCATGCTCACACAGCACAGCTCGGAGACTTGCAGCACATCTCTAACTAAGGAGTGTTCTCTGGAAGGTAAGAAAGAACAATGAACAAAGGATGTTAACTAATGATGACTAATATAAATACAAGAACAGCTCCTAAAGTGAGTGTTGATTATAATATTCTGGGCCAGTTCTGACAAATACAGACAGTAGGCACCAGGAGTTCTCTGCTGGTTCATAAATAGAATCCTAACTTCATTCTTCAAAAATGCTCACAGAGAAGCACACTAGTAGAAGATTTAATGGTGCAAGGGACACTTGGAAAGAGATGAATAGTCCTTGTGGGAGAGTTTGCAACTTGCCACTCAAGATGAACTGCACTGGAGCCCAGGAATTGCTCCAAAAGTTCTGAAGTTTTGGCCACTTGATACCAAGTGGTCTTCACTGCCTGTGTGACTGGAGAAATTGTGTCACATCTGGAGGAGATAGCCTCTCAGGATGCTGCAGTGCAGGAGGCATGTGAGTACAACACAGGTGAAGATTCAAGCCAAGCCTATTAGTGGTAGTAAAGGTTCCTGCTACTAGGTCCTTTGCCCACATTGCTGATTTCATTGCATATTTAACAAAGGTCTACCAATCATAAGTATATGCATTGTGAAAAAGAAGAACCATGGCCAACATGAAGTATGAAAAAAAACTTAACTTGTCAGCAACAAAAAAAGAAATAAAATGTAGATTTCTATTTGCCAATTTGATGGCAATTCAAAAGAAAAGATAGTGGTCTATGAGGATATTAGGAAATGGATACCAGAAAACTGGTACAACCTTGCACTCATCGCCCTCTTAGAAAGGTTAATACATAAGCATAAATAACAGTATTTAAAGTATAAGTCATTTTTATTACCTAGAAACTGCAAATGAAAGCAATTTAAAATCTTTATAGTAGGAAAAGGTTGCAGTGAATTATAGTTTACCCACACAGCAAAATGTACTGTAGCTATTGAAGAGGATGGTACAGGCAGAATATCTAAGGACTGGGAGAAGACTCAGAATGTTTGTGATAGGCACATAAAACCTCTACAGATGCATCCACATCTCTTCCTAGACGCTGCAGCCATGATCCATTACATGGCAAATGGGAATTAAGGTGGACAATGGAATTATGATTGCTAATTTGTCAATCACATGAAGATGATCACATGATCCTGGATGATCTAGATAGGCCTCGTGTAACCACAAGGATCTTTACAAGGGGAAGAGGAAATGGCAGAGTCTGAGTGACACAGTGTGAGAGGACTTCTCTCTCACACTCTTGAAGTGACACAGTGTGAGAGGGACTTCTTACTATGGCTGGTCTTAAAGATGAGAGAGGCTATGAGCCAAGGTGAGTTGGCAGCCTTTAGAAGCTGGGACAGGCAGGAAAACAGATTTTCTTCTGAATCTCAGAAAGGAACACAGTGTACTGACACTTTGTTTTTAGTCCAGTGAGAGGCATTTGAGACTCCTGATCTTCAGGTTTGTTAAGATAATAAATTTGTGTTGTTTCTAGATCCCATGTGGTAGTTATTATAGTAATTACAGGACACTAATATAACATTGAAGATGAAAAATGTCTGGTTTTGTAAGTTGGATATTGAAAGCTGAGTTAAGAAAAATGTATATGAAATGTCACATAATATGGCCAACTTCATTGTGGTTCTATCTAGGTAGCATATTACCATCGATGTGTATTGCTTTTGTATTTATTGTCTACACTTTCTGCAGCACAAAAGTGTTGCTTTGTAATAATAAAAATATTCAGAATGTGGAGAGCATTCAGTTCATGTTGTTTAAGCTTTACTGTAAATTAGTAATATGGATCTTTTGCAGATAGACATATTTCTCATTCATATTAAGGTGGAGATGTCTTGGGGATCATTTTCTTGTAGGATAGTCTCTTTCCAAAATTTTAGACAGTCACTGATAGTCATGCAGAGGCCAAAACAAATATTTTTCAGTGAAAGATGTTCTAAATTAAGTTCCCAAAAATATCCAGCAGATTTAAGGGACATACTTTTTATTATTCTGAGTATAGTTTTATGTTTTGATAATGTGCCAATACATTATTGAAATGTTTATTGCATTCTTCTGTGTGTTGAACACAGTGTCCATTTGTTAAAACACCGCACAGCTGTATGACAGTGGTTATTATAGCTATTCGGAGGATCACAGAAAACAATGATTATGCTTTGTTTCATGAAAAAGCAGAATGGAAAGTTCTACAAACTTCTAATTACTACTCTATAAAAAAGAAAACATGAGAAGATCTCTTTATTTTAGTTATACCCATCTATACAAATTTTCGTGCAATGCAGGTCAGAGTATAACGATCAAGGCTTTCTGTAGGACAATAAAAACAATAAATATGTACTTTCAAATACTCTGGCTGTCTTAAAATATCTAATATTAAGTGCAGTGGACTGCATCATGTTCCCCTAAATTCATAGATTGAAGCCCTGCCCCCAGCACGTGACTACATTTGGAGACAAATCCTGTAAGAAGTTAATTAGGGTTAATGACATCATAAGGGTGGGGGCCCTGCTTGGCTGGTATTGGTGTAACAGAGAGCCACCCACTGTCGCCCAGTGTGGGCACAAAGAAAACATCATTGAGCACACAGAGAGAAGACAAGTATATACAGGCTGGGAGAAGAGGTCTCAAGACAAAACCATACCACTGGCACCATGATCTTGGATTTCTAGCCTACAAAGCTGTGGAATATGCAATTTTTATTGTTTAAACCACCCAGTCTATCATATTTTACTATAGACACTGGAGCTAAGACAGTAAAATATATTGAGCGCTTACATATTAGTTTTTAAGGACTATATCAATCTTTTTTTGTTGTTTTGTTTTTTTGGGTTTTTTTTTGAGACAGGGTCTCGCTATGTAGTTCAGGCTGGCCTGGAGCTCACTTTGGAGCCCAGGCTGGTCTCAAACTCACAACGATCCTCCTGCCTCAGCCTCCGCAGTGCTGGGAATACAGGCATGTGCCACCATGCCTGGCTTTTCTTTCTTTCTTTTTTTTATTTTTTGTTTTGAAGGACTATATCAATGTTGTGAGAGTAGCGACTGTTACCATCCCAGTGATGTGAACCGAAGCTTATAGATCTGACCTAATCAACATGCTACAGCTGATCATAGGAAGGACAAAACCTCAAAGAACTTTCAGATTCAAAAGCCGACACTGCTATCAGACAGTGGTTTAGTGTCTTTAAAAATGTGATTATTTTATAATTGAACCACCTACATAATTATATAATAGCTTCTTGGTCTTCTCATTACCTGAAATACTGTATTTCAGGGGCAAGGGTGAGGGTGGAGAGACCACTGCTAAACAGAAACATAGGGAAATTAAAATAGATTATGAAAAACTACCACGACTGCAGTCATTCATTTTGGAAACAGCAATAGTATTTCAGTGAGTTGTTGTGATTGTATTTGGCTGGCTGTAGAATGAACAGTAACTCCAATATTCAAATTTAGAACAGCAGTGGCCAAGAATAACAATGGTTCCCATAACTGATGGCTGAATTACTCCTAAGGAGGGTATTGGGGAGATTAGCACTATTTAGAGGAGCTCTTGTTAATGATTCTGCTATTATCAGCCCTCTCCCACAAAAAAAAAAAACCACATCCCACCTACCACCTCGGTGATACCATGTCTTCTTGGGAAAGGCAGCCTGTTTTCCAAGGAGGCAACAGTACTCATGATTTTAAAGACAAAACACAATCTAAAGATGCATCAGAAAAGTTGTTGGCTAGGAGAATGATTCTTACTTTTCTCTTATTGCTGAGACAAAAGACCCAGCACCTAAAGTTAAAGGGGGACAGGTTTATTTAGCTCACAGATTGTAGAGGTTTCAGTCCCTAATCAGCTGGTTCCAAGATAGGGTGGTATGGCAGGTAGACATTACAGAGGGGAAATAGTTCATGGTGGGCAGAAGGAAGCAAAAGCAACAAGGGGCAACCATAGCTCTTTCTAGCCCTTATATCTTATCCAGGCTACTTAGGGCAGGCAGCACTCACACCCTTAATCCTAGTGTCCTTGATCCTAGCATTGCACTGTGAATCAATTCCAGTGTTCTAGATCCATCCACCTCTGAAAAAGCCACACATGACCTCATGAGACTTTGAGGGGACAACACAAGCCATAGCAAATGACAACCACAAGAAGCCTTGCTGTTTATTTGCTAGATTTGCTTCTATATTGCTGTGTTTGGCCACACTTTGACATTTGGAGGTCATCTTGTCATTGTTGGAGCAATAGTGCCCTTAATGGAAAAAAAAGAATAAAAAAGCATCTAAAACAAGCAAAATGGTGAAGAGGAAAAGCCACAGATTCCCAGAAGTAAGTTAGGAAACACGACAGGGTCCTGACTGAGTGTTGATCTGAAGAGACTGTGAGGCCGTGAAAAATGTGACATATTTAACATCAGTTTGCAAACAAGCCTGGGAAAGGACTCATCTGCACTGACTCCCACAAACACTGGGACAAAATCAAGAGAGAGAACATCTTCACACTGCTCTTTTGAAGAAACTGTGCAATAGTTTCTAATTATAGAAAGTTACAGAGAAACTCATGAGCAGCAGGTGTGTGCCCACCCTCAGCCCTTTCAAATCTTAACATCTTTGCCACATTTGCGTTAGATGAATGACAATGAGGACACATTGTAGATACATCTGGTCCCTCTGTAACATCTTCCTCTCTTGGTCCCCACCTCCATCCTCCTTTCCCAGAAGAGGGTTTGTTATTTATCATTCCATTAAGTTTTTACAAAATATTTTACGGGAACTGGGGGTGTAGCTCAATGGTAGAATGCTTGCCTAGCGTGCACAAGGGCCCAAGTTTAATCTCCAGTAC